TAAACCAGATTTTCGGTTAATACCAAAGATGCAACGTATCTTGAATGAAAGAGGGAGAAAGAGAGAACGATTGCATTCCGACACATGAAACGCCGTTAAAGCGGTGCAGCATGACGATGCGCTTCTGACTGCGATAAAGTCGCACGCGAGTGACAACGAATACATAGGGTGTCCTATAAATACCTCACTTTCACTTCTGTTTCTATTTTAGTAGCTATATTTAAAAAAAAACAGCTGTTTTTCGTAATAATAAGACAAGCTTTTATTTTCGATGCGAGCATTTTAGAAACCAAAACACGCTCGATGCTCTTTCGACTATTTGCAACTTCTCTTCTTCCTCTTTATTTATTCTTCCTCGTTTCGAAAGCTAGACATCGCTTCTTCGTAGCATCATCTCTCGGCGAAACGACGGCTTTCTGTCGTTTCGCCGATATTTCCTGAATTATACTGTAGTGACCGACGGGCAACACGTGACACGAGAGTGAGAGAGAAAATGCGTCCCACCTGCGCCCTCCCGCTCCAAGGTTCGCCGACGTAAACGCTTAGGCTATGCGATTTCGCCTAACGTTGCGCGTCGACGTAAACGGTAGCACCCGTCGACACTGCTTACGTAAGAACGAACGAACGAGCGAACGGCAGTGAGGAAGCTCGCTCGCCTTATCTTGCTTGGCTCACGTCAAGAGTCCAGACACGACGTCGACCACACTCTTAATACGAGGATTCCGAGAACAACGGGAATTCCGCGAATATTCCCATTTCGCCGAGAAAGCCCCATAACGCGCGCATCTTCTCTCCGGTTCATCCGCCGACTCTCGATAAACCCGTGAAAAACCCGGCTCTTTGAATATGTGCGCCATTGATAATTGGAAAAAAATGAATAGGGTTGGTTGCCACCGGTCCGATAAGTATTGAAATTTAGAATGAACGACAGCGAAAAAAGATTATCAGTTTCCAGTTGTCCTGTAAAACTTCGGATTTCGCACTATAATCAATCTGATATCCAAAATTGACTTCTTATTGAGAAGAATACGTTGGAAGTATGAACAAATTACTCCGGTTAGTTACATTCCTGATTTTCCTGAGATTATCTGAAAATTGATATAAAATCGACATTTCCTGTGCACACAATCTAATATTGAAGTTGACGAATATCCCAGAAGTGACATAACGATATCGTATTTTAAGTTGAAATGAGATCATCGAATATGAAATTTCCAAATATTTCGCAATCCACAAAACCGCCGTTTCAAACAAACGTCATTTTTACGATGTAATAGACATATTTTTAAAAATTATAATATCTCTCTCTCTCTCTCTCTGTCTCTCTGTGTATGTTAGCGAATATCTTTTAAATTGACGGGATAAATTTTGACAAAATGGTTCAGGCTTTCTACATATCGACTTTCAACGATACAGTTGACTCTTTCATGATTGCAAAAAATTGAGCTCTTGAAATTTGGTTCTTTATTTGTTCCAGAACTTTGTCAACTCGGCGCATCTATCGACAACGTTCAGAGCTGGAGGATCGAAACGGCAACAAAGCTCTCAATTTGATTTTCAAAGCAACGGCTCGTGCGCCAAGAGACACGCGCGCGGAAGACCTCTCCGCATCGGAAATGTTGTGACGTCGACGGCGACATTTCGATGAATCGGCACGACCGATAAACCCAAGCGGCGACTTTTCCGCCAGCTTTGACCTCTTGCATGCGCGTGCGATCCTCGCGTCTCGGCGATTGGATTTCTGCTGCGCCTGCCGCTCGTTTCACAATATTATATCGTCGCGTCACTATTACCCGAAATGTTTAACGAAACGAACAATTTTTCAAGCAAAGTAGAAGAAAATCTACTCAATACTCTAAAAACGTTATAAAGTAAATGAGCACTCGATAATCAACATTGTGCAAGTATTGTGATTTATTACATCGCATCACGAAAGCGGAAAAGCGAAATATATCAGAAGAGAGGTAAGCCGACGTTACTGTTCTGTCGAGCATTCACCAGCAACACGTCTTTCCCGCGTTCGCGGCTGAGTAGTCGCGATCAAGGCGTTAATGGAATCCTCGCGGCACGGTTAACACAGTGACCTTAAGTAAAACGTCCTCGCTCGCGCTGTTGCGCCTTTGACCCTCTCGGCGCAGCAACGCGAGCGACGCTCGTTCCCTCCGAGGGAAGTGCGCGTGTCGCGAGGACTCCAACTGCCGGAGCGTATTTTCACGCGTTCCTTACTCTACTCCGCAAACAATACTCCAGCGAGTGGGTCACGTGTTAAGGTCGGCGGACGTCGTTATTTCGCTCAATCAATTGTTCATATTTTCTGGGCGAAAATAAATAATCTGAAATGTGTTTACAAAAACAGGAGGAGGACAAAGGTGCGAGCTTGCTACGTTTAAATCGGAACAACAGATTTGATAGGAAAGTGAGAGTTGAAGGAAATTCGGCTGAAATATACTAGACGCGACGAGACTCTACGAGATTGAAACGATAAATGAACATTCTCTCCGTCACGATATTAGAACACGCAGGAGGCGCGACCGGCCCATTCTCATGCGTGGTGGATGCGTGTGCGTGACTGCCATGTGACGAGGCGGATTCTAGCGTGCTCCCAGCGGAGTCCCATGGACGCGTGCGAGTGCGCGGCTAAAGAAGAAACAAGACGGAAACATGCTCGCAGGGAAGAGGGAGCGAGCGAGAGAAACCGATGGCACGTCAGCGGCAAAGGAGTGGAGGACGGACGCGTGGTGGGGCAGTTCGTGGAATGTCCCGTCGTCTCGGGCGAACAACAGTCCGGCTCCTCCGGAACTCCGATGGAGAACAGGCTCGGTTCTTGCGGACTGGTTTGTCCGACTTGCCCTGGCTCGACTTACGTCGCCGGTTCGCGACAATCAACGGTCTTCGAGGCTTTCCATCCCTCCGAAGCGCGCGCACATTGTTGCCCAAAGTGAATCATTCGGAGATTTTCCGGCAAAATGATTGCGAGCTCCGCCGAAATTTTTATTCTTGATTGGCAGACTGACCGTGGTGCGCGTTCGGCCAAACATTGCGCCAATTAAGCTGCCTTTGCCGTCCCATGAAAGGATTCTCGCGTCGTTGTTGAAACCCACCGCTAAGGTTCCAAAGATCAGGCCGTCCCAGGTCTACAATGACTCTATTGATTTATAGAGATTGCGTATTGTGTGTATCTCCGCGTTCGTGTTATTCCGTCACGCCCATTCCACGACAGGACGCTGTAGAATCGATTATCGAAGCGCGGGCCAGAAATGGGTCAAGTCCACTTTTGGCAGAATTCGGTTTGCTCCGCTTTTTTTACGTCGCCTCGATATCTCGTCCATGCACTCCGGCGTTGGAAAAAGAACCGACGCGCTGTTGTTCCAGAACAAGTAGAATTAATTCGTTTAAACTAACTATTGAATTCATCCAGACGAGAAACTGTGGACGTAGCCAAATTTCAAATGAGCTTTCTTCTAGATTTTTTGAGGGTTTTTTCGCACGTCTTTTCTAAATGAAGTAACTTGTTGCACACGCGATGTCGTGCATGCAGTTGACCGTGCGTGAGCGCGTGGACGGTGTTGCGTTTCAGATACGATCGATGAACGTTCGTAATGTGTGACAAAGACTTTCATGTTCCGCACGGCGGAATCGTTAATTATACCTCCGTCCGATTGTCCTTGAATGACGAATCGCCCACCGACACACCGTATTAACCGCTAATTGCAACAGAGGTCGAACGAAAATTCGCGGATGATGTCGCCGATTGAGGCGATTCATTCTGCGTTATTGTTTTTATACATTGTATTAAAAATATGTTGAAATTGGACGAAAATATTTGTGAAAGGTATAATTTAGAAAGTAAAATATTAGTGAATATTACACCGATTCTCAAGTGGAAGACAGCGCGCAAATTTTTCGAAGGAATTTCAAGAATCCGAAAGCATAGAACTTCCAATTTCCTAGACCGTAGGCGCGCGCGAAGAGGTACGTATTGTTTTCTTTCGATCGGTTCTTCGAGTCCCTTCTCTCCCGCCTGTTCTCCGAGGTCAATTCCCCGAAGGCCGTCCTTCCGGGACTGGCACGAGAACAAGGCTGCACGTATATGGTAGGTAATAGCGGAATCATTCCCGATGGAAGAAGCGATCGATTGAAACGTAACGGAGAGGAAAGAAGGACCTCGTCTGCCCTTGGCTGTTGGCGATTCGGAATAGATAAAGAGGTGGATTAGCGAGGATCCCCGCTTCGTCTGGGGAAGCGCTCTTCTATTTTCACGACTTTATTTATAACGCGTTTTGTTTGGGTTCGTAGCCAAAGACCATCTGAAAAAGCTCCCTCTAATCCGCCGATGTGTTGGCTACTACCGATCGTGGAATAGGATACAACGCGATGATTAAAATTGGAAGTCGACCGTAGTCGTTAATCTCGATGTGTTTGAATGGGGTTTCGAGGCGGGTAACACGTTTTACAACGATAGAGCGCAATGCGCGCTGAGAACAGGTTAGGTTAGATTATACGCGCGATTGTAAATGTGAGCGAATCGAGAATTGTGAATTAATCAGGAAGCAAGGAGCGCTCAAGAGAGAGAGAGATTCAAACGAGCTCGAGAGTGGTTGATTTATTTCAGTTTTCACGTAGAAAAGCGTATTTCAGCGAGGCCGACGGCCACGATGAGCAAGGAGAGAAAAAGAAGAAGAGAGGAAGACACCCAACTTTCGCAGCAGATTTTCCATTTCACGCGCGGTGTCGCAGACGACAAGGCCACGGTTAAAACCCTCATTATCGTCATCCAATATGACGTTCTCTCTCATTCCGGTAAGAGAACGCGCGCAGGGCATATCTACGTCCCTGAAGAGAGCGTATGCCTGGGCTGCTCTCCTCCTCACCCCGCCGTCCCTTCATCCGCCTATCCCCCATCCGCACTCTTCCCCACTACGACCGCGGACGTCCCTCGGTGCGCGTTCGATACACGGAATCGCCTCGTGGTTCTCGGAAGGCAGTAGACTATCGTCAGCCACGCCAGACGGCGCACCGCTCGCACGCTCTCTCTCTCTCTCTCGTTGCGTATACTCGCTCACTCATCGCTACCTCTCTCCCAACCGTCCGTCCTCTCTTCTCTCCTCCCCTCCTATCCTCTCGCCACGTCTCTCTTCGCGCCACTCCATACGCTCTGTCTCGCGGAGCCAGATACACGAACTCGCCAGTTACGCAACAATAACAACGCCGTGAGGAGCGTGTGTGTAGCGTGCGACACCGTACCGACCGTATCGCGGGGAATCACTTGTTGACAACCGGACATACCCGAATAACGTGGGGAAAACAAGAGAGGAAGTAGCGATCGTTGTTCCCGCGGGCGAATTTCAACCACGATACGGAGTATTTGAAGAACCCGCGCGATTGTGAGAGAGAAATCGATCGCGGACGGGAGAGCGTTTATCCTCTCGCTCGAGGAGGAAGTGCCGAGAGCGATGCGCAAGATCGCTGAGGAGCCTCGCAGGATCGACACTCACCGATCGATGAATGGAGTAGTAGCTTTGAGTTACCACGCGGTGACCACGAGGTCCTACCGGAGGAATGCCGATCAATCGCGCGCATCATCGGCTCGATCTGTGAATTGTTGTGCCGGCAACACAGTGCTCTGTAAATCGCGACGAGGTGACTGATCGAGGAAGAGATTACGATCGTCGCGAGCACTCGTCGGCGAGTGCAAAGCTCAATCAATCGAGCTCGTACGTAAGAAAGTCGTATCGAGCGAATCTGAAGCGGAGAACCCGCTACCGATCTCCGAGAAGCGCGCGGATGCCCGCTCGCGCGACGCGTTTAGGCGCCAATGACGTCACCGGTCGAGTGAGGCCGCCGCCGTCAGGGGAATTCGCGGTCGGGTTTCTCGCGCGCGCAGTGCGTTTACGCGCGCCACGGGGAACGAGACCTTACGCTCTCTGCCGGGATCGAGATGGTGGTAGTAGCAACGCGCGCGCCGCACGTTCCGTGTCGCCGTTGTGTGAAATTGTGTGCTGGTGTGCGGCGTATGTGCTTTGCTGCGTCGTTGTGGTGGGGGTAAGGAGACCCCGTGGAATCGTTGCGCGGTGGCCGATTACGACTTTTCTACGTATGTCGCTCAGCGGGCAATGACTAACTGCGCGGCTGGGTCAGATATATCATCGACAAAGTCCGTTTCGTCGGTCGGACGGGATTTGCATAGCAAACAGATTGACGCGCTCACAAGTGGATAACGAGAAGTGGAATCGCGCGCGTTCCCTTCTGTAGTGCGAGACCTCGCGCGTTCTCTTCCCGTTCTCTACACGGCTACGTACGTACCTACGTGTGTGCGTGCGGATAAATATGTGAATATCACTTCGTATGTGCGGCTGGCTCGAAGAAAGAAAGAGAGAGAGTACACGACGAGGCAAGTGTAGAGCTTAAAATAGAAGAGTGACTTCGGCTTAAGTACGCGGTGGGAGGACGAGCGAGTAAAGTGAAACGGAGAGGAGAGGGTGGATGTGTTCACTCCTCCCTGGCCGTCTTCCCCTTCCTCCGCGTCGTGCTTCTGTGATACGTTCGAATTCTACGTTTCTCCGTGGGTGATCCGTGTCGAAGGGAGTAGCGAGAGGACCGACCAGAGTATATACACACATAGACATACACAAGTATATTACATATATATATATATATATATATATCATAGTGAAGTGTATGTTCTGTGATAATCGTACATATAGTGCATATTGCAGTGGTGGACGTGAGAGAGCAATCTCTCTCTTTCCCTCTCGCGACTTTTTTCTCGCCCGACGTCGCCGTATTGTCGGCAAGGGAGGAGAAGGTTCGTCGATCTTCAACAGAGGCAGAAATCGCGCTGGTACTCGCGCACTCGCCTGCCGTCGAAGAGGAGGCGTCGTCTCGCTCTCTGTCCCACGCGATGGATCGTGACTCGCGTTCGTATTCCTGCGGAGGCTGCAAGAGGACCGCCGCCGAGAGCCGAGCTATGCCGATGGAGTAACAAGTGAGCGGCGAAGCGGCGTTGCCATGACGACAGGTGAACCACCAACCTCTCCGCGCACATTTCTCTCTCTCTCACTCTGCTTGTACACTGCCTGACTACCAATCCCCCCCTCCGCCATGTCCCGCCGCCGCTCTGCGCGCGCGGTGTGTTTGTCCCTCTTTTCCTCTGACCCCGTATACTCGCGAGATATGATGCGACAACAGTACCTCCGTCTCTCGCTCGCTCGCTCGATCTTTCTTCCTCTCACTTTCTCGCGCGTTGCGGCAACGCTCTCCGTCCCCTTCCACGTTCACCGTTCCGTTCCTCTCCTACGTTCCTCCCTCTCGGAGCTTGCCACTTCGTTTTCCTTTTTCGGTCGTTCCCTTCCTTCCCTGCGGTCTCATCGTCTCAACACCGACGTGTTTTCGTGATACTCGGAAGGTAGAATGCGGTTATGAGAAAGAAGGAAAAAGACAGAAGCGAGAGACTCGTGTCTGTCCCGGCCACTTTTGTACATTGTAAATCGCGTTACGATCGCGTTATAAAAATTTACGAGGGATGCTGAGTCGTTACGAGTTCTCTGTGTCAGCGCTGCCGGTCCTTCTGTGTGCTCTTCCCTCGCTTTCGTTTTTACGAACGTCATGCGAGGTCCTTTCTCGCGCGATCCACCAAAACCGGACATCTCTTGAATCATTGCCTTCAATTTGCCCAATCGTTGACGAGATAGTTGACCGAATCGATTGTCCAGCTGACGGAGATCGAAAAAACATCACACCGGGTTGCACCATATAGTCGTTATCTTTAGAAAGCTCAAGTCGATCTTTTGTATTTCTCTGCAAGACCATTTGCACTGAACATTGTTTTACACGGTGCAAAAGTTTGTCCCCAGTCAACGGTCGATCCAGAAATGCACTCCATATGTCAGAGAATTGTAAATTAGACGAGTACCTGGTAATATCAGTGTATCGTGTCGTGGCCATCGGTCGCGATCGCTCGTTGGTAGAGCGAACGATGCCGTTTTAGCATGCTTAACGCGTAGGCCACGCGATATTCCAAGTACGCTCGGCTATTTTCATGCTACGCTAAGAAGCACGAAGAGCGAAGTGTGAGCGCGCGCGCAATGCCTATAGCGGCGTGACACGACGACGAAGTGGTAACGGCGGTCTCCTCCGCGCCATGCCGTATTAAGCTGGAATCGGCCAAGCCGAGTGTAGGATCGTCAGAATTTCTCCCGGTTTGTCGTCTATTCGTGGAAGGGAGAGATACCGGGGTTATAAAGCTTGCTTCAAACTGCACGATTCCGTTGTCCCTGCAAAGAAGAATAGTTCGCGCGCGAACGTGCTCTTGACGCTGCGCGTCAAATTTGTTCCAACACTCCGTTCCCCTTCAAATCTCATATGATACAACACTTTCTTTCTTCAACTCGAGAGAGAGAGAGAGAGAGAGAGAGAGAACGAACATTTTCCGTGCAATTGTCTATAAATGACACAAAATGTAGAATAGAAGGAAAATAATAGAAGCATGCGAAGCAGGCTATAAAAACGAAAAAATTAAGAAGATTTGTGGAAACTTTAGATGATTGACACTCATAGTAACGTCAATTCATCGTACTTTTCCTGGTATTCTCGTATCAGCGAGAGAATGTGAGAAAAGCATGAATATTTATAGAACCCATGCACTCTCTGGGTTAGGATAATATGTTTGTAGAAACGGAAACATAATTGTCACTGATAAATATCGGCGGTATTTATTAGAATTCTTAAAAAAATATGGATAAATCGGGATACTCGCGAATGCATAAGAGTTGAAAGAAATATCTCGCGAAAGAGGCAGAACGAAACAACGAAATCTACTTTATTCGCTATCTAAATTTACTTTAACTGCTCGTGAGCCTCTAATCGTAAATCCAGCAAACTTTATTACGCTCGCACTGCGATACCCATTACGGTCTTGTAATAAGCTTAAAAGGATTGTACGACACTCGTCATTCTGACTAGATGTATCCTTCAGCTCTTAGCCCTGACAATGTGATCTCTTGAATTTGGCTTCATTATCGTATGATACGAGCAGTATTTATACTTGGTGCGATGATAAAACACAGTCGCTTTTTTTTCGCGAGTTAAATTTATCGTCGTTTTTTCTCATTTGAAAGATTAATCCGAGATGATAACTACGATATGATAGCAATAAAGCAACAACTTGTATAAATTCTTATTATTACGTCGGAAAAGAATCTTTTCCGATACATCCTATTTCAATCGAATATTAGTAAATAAGAAGAGTCGGCGCGTGCGAATAATTACTGCACCGCATACCTGGAACGCGCTACAGAAATTATATTTGGAGCGACAAGAGGAAAGGGAGAAACGTTAAATGTCGTCAAGTAGCTTCGTATCCTCAGTCGATAATCTTGCATGAATTAGCAATTCATGGAGTCGTGTTATAGTATTTACAACGACAATGAGAAATACGACGAAGAACTCTCTATTGAATTTGCGCCGTGCGTCATAGTCACACACACGAAAGCAGCCGTCGGTGATGGAATCTAATTAAACGAATCGAAAAGTAAATATGGAATCATACTGTCTACACGCGTAAGCACGGCGTCACTGACTCGATTAATTAAGCGCGTTGTTTACTTCAGCATCACAAGAGGTGGATCCATCAATTGACGCTCTGGAAAATTACATGAAAAGAAAAAGGAGAAAGCACGGTGTACAATAGCTGGACGTCTGACTGACGGTGAACACCTAACGGTGACTTAAACAAATTTTTTCGCGAGAATGCGATCGTCGAACTTGCTTTGCCAAGCAACGAAAGGCGCGAAGGGGACACGCAGAGACAAACACGCATCGTTCATAGCATCGGTTCTCTCTTTCGGTAGAGCATTTCGCGGCCGTGAACGTCCTAGGGCACGTAGACGGGGTGCGTGACCCAATCACCCGTTCACTGGCAGCGCGAACGGCGTGAATTCACCGCATCGGGTCTCTTCCATCGAGGCGCGGTGGGGGGGGACTATCGTGAAGTACCAGGCACAACAGCCGGGCGGGGATCCCCGCGCACGTGAAAGAGGAGGCGATGGCGTGTGTGTGCGTCAGTGGCCGCGAAGGCCGACGGTAGAGGAGAGGTGCTCCGTCAGACGCAAGTAAGCGGCTGGTGTGGCGCGGAAGGAGGTGGGACCGACCGCTGCTTCGTCAGACGCGCGGGGCCGCGTGACTCACTTGCTCTTCGCGGGAATCTCCCGCTTCCTCGCCAGTGGCAGCACCGTACGACTTTGCGCGGTCGCACGGGTACAGTCCGCACAGCCGGAGGGAGGAGGAGGTGGCCGGCCAATACCAGCCGGAGTTCATCCGGCGCAGCGCTCGGCCGTCGCGGACCCGCTATGCGATATGTATCAGTGTTTCTCAACCTCGCTTCCTATGTGATCCACGCAGGACGATTTGTCCGTATCAGACACGTATTCCGAGTTTCACCAGTTGGAAACGGAATATGCAACACGCTGTATTCTCACGTTTTTTTTTCTCTTAATTGCAGCGACACATTGATATCAGTGTTGGCGTTTCTGACATAAAGCTCGATAATAAAGAGCGAATTGATTCGAATATTCCGCACAAGAGATACACCGCGCCTCACCGATTCACTGCAACATATCGCACTGAGCGGACGCTAATTGGACGTCGCATTCGCGCATCTGGACGATATATCCACAATAAATCTGACAACGAATATGCATTGTGCGCACTAAAACTATAGCCACTAACAGACAATTAAAATTATTGACAATGCATCGAACAAATACAACAGTCGCGCATTATCTGCGCTACGAAGAGAGCCGTTTCCTACCATTATCGATTTCTGCGTTAGTTAAATTAAACTTGAGGCCGTGCCGGACCGGGGGAAGGATTGTACGCGAGCTTTATCGATATCAATGAATAAGCGGGTAACTGACCCAGAGAGTGGAGAACTGACTCAGAATGGATAAAATATCTTGAGATTTTGCGGTGCTTCTCTCACATAATGAATGGATCAGTCGCGTTAATATTGAAAGGTCTGCGACACTGCTAAAATTATCCTTCGATGGCGAAGGACTCTCGAGAGATCATGTGGCGGGCGATCGTTTCGGCGAAACCCCGCCCGTAATCGTACGATGACGAGAGAAAGAAACTCCGCTGATTCAAGCGCGACTTGGTATAGATGCGAAATGTCATATAATGACGATGATAAATAACAAACTCGAAAATATGAAATTGACCTTCGTGTTTTTGATGTCGACCGGACTGTGAGAGACTCATAGCTGCCTGCCAAGGTGGAGCGATCGTTTACTTAGCCTACGTAACGGTGTAATGTGCAGAGGACTTTGAGACACCGTGGACCGAGATAAATACAGTCGTGAAAATTTAAGAAACCTGAAATATCATAAAGAAATAATTCGAACGGAAAGAAACGAGCCAAAATTGTAAAAAGCTCAAACGGCGGTCTTCTCAAAAGTCAAACGTAAACAAGCGTGAAAATTGAGGCATGACATCGCGGTCAGTTGAACGAGCGTTTAACGCGTCTGACGCGTCCGGTATAAAACGATTAACGAATTGTCAGGTCGATATAGCGCGATGGTACGATGTAACGCGCGGCAGACTGAACAGACTATTCATAGGTTGCAATTGATCGTTTATGCTCCGTCTCTTGGAGCGTCCCAGTCAGACTTGAACCCAAATCGCGCGCGCATAAGTTGTTATACATGTATATACACATATACATGCATGTATTTTTGTTTTTAGCTTTCCACACTGCACGTGCAATACATGACAAGTGTTAAAGCCGAGGATGACCTGCGACGGGGAAGAAACGTGCAAATAAATTTGCCACAGATCTTGCTTATAGCCGAACGCGACGAGATTTATCTTTGCGCGTATGCCGATGTATCGGCAAGGAGGGGGCCACCGAGGTCAGGGAGCGAAGCATCGAGATAGAGGACGAACAATAATAACACCAATACATCAATAAAATAGACTCGACCAGCTCGCATAAGCTGGTGTTTTACTCGGTGTTTTACTCGGCACGACGTGTGGGCGAAACTCGCCTGCCGAGAGCCCGAAAATAAAATTTTACGCGACGACACGAAGAGTCCACGATCAAATTTACGTGCGTGATGGCACGCTCAAATCTGTCGTCCCTCTGCGATCGATTTAAGGCAAAATAAAGGAGCCAATGTCACCGGTGTTATTTCGTTGTTATTTAAATTGTCGTCCCCAAGTAAAACAACGTATGCCCGTCACTTCTCGTCAATTTAGCATGCGATTAAACGCATCGGCAATTGCCACTGGAGCACGCGGAGAAATAACTGCGGCCGTTGTTTTATATTCCGAGTATAACTGACTGAAATCTGCGTTTGCTCGAAATGCAAACAAAACGTGTATCGTGACCCATTTCCGTCGCTTCGCGAACGGGAGTGCATACGAAGCTTACCGTATTTATTGCGCGCGGCCATACACGTCCGCGAGATATATTTGCGAACATGTAGCGCAGGACTACGAGTGTGTACGCATAATGCACGAATAACTTCGATAACAAGCTGTAATTTCAGACAAATATTTGAGAGGACGTTAATTGAATAATTCGAAACTCGAGGCCGGTTGTTACGTTGTCCGCGATAATCTCCACGCTGCTGCTTGCTTGTCGATCTTCAGTCCACTGATACCATTCATTTCGTCGATTTGTAGCGCGCGCGACGATATCATTAAAATGAGAGAAAAATATTCCTTTAGCCGTGTGCGTTGATCAAAATGAAAAGTTTGCCGAGCCTCATTCCGTCCAAATTCGATCGCTCGAATCACAATTTTGACCTTTCGTTGGTGCAATGGAAAAGTTTCGTTAATTAGCGATTAATTTGGAAAAGCTATAAAATTGTTGTCAATTTCCTACACAAGTTGGAAATCTCGTAGCGAAAGTACATCATATACATAATGCCACGCTGCAAACGCTACGAGACGTTCCAATTGCTGTTGTATAATTAGTGTCGTTCGCACGCAATCGCACACATCGTGTAAATTTGCGATTACGCGAAAGAACTACGGTCGTAACGGTAAGTCAGTCTCCTCGATCAACTCTTGAGCCGGCCTGTAAGACATCCTGCGATAACCGCGTAGATACCATGCGTGTTCGTAGAAGCGAATGGGCACGAAAAGAGCACGCTATTGTCGGTTTCATTCATTTCTGCTAGATTCGCGCCGCCGTCGATTAAGAAGAGCCTAATGAAGTTTCGCGTGTCTCACGTGTATTTGCGTCACGCGTCTCCTCCCACGACGCGTTTGCTTATAAAGAGCTTCTCGCTGATCAACCTATTAGCGTCGGCGCGCTCGCACGCAACGTAAACTTTAAAGCTGCATCCGTAATTAACGATGCGACGTGAATGTTCTCGTGTTTGCCGGATAATCGAAAGAGCGAATTCAATTGGATGACGTAAGTTTTTTCTTCCACAAAATACGAAAGAAAGTGCGTCGAATCGACATTTATTACAAATTGCGAGGGAAATGAATTTCAAATCGGCAACGCCGATTTTATCGAAAGGTTTCTCGAAGTGTAAACACTGGTCAATTAATTGGAACAATGATGCTAATGGGTTTCCTTCTTTTTCTTCCTTTTTAAAGGAAATGTAATTATGGAAGATGGTTTGGATTTTGTTCGTAAATTTCATCGTGCGATGCATCAAGTCATCTCTGTGAGAGTCGAGAGGCTTTCCGGGTGTTTCTTCTTCGATGAAGTCTACCGCTGCCAAATGGATCGTCGATGTAAGTCTCGTTTGGGCGCGATGGTGATTCTCCACGAGGAATGCCTCCGTCGACGAACCAGGTTGGCTCGTGCGCGCGTTCTGCCAGCTCTTCTCTTTTCGCTCGTTCTCTCTCTCTCTCTCTCTCTCTCTCTCGCTCGTTCGCTCGCTCTCCCTCTCCTCTGTATTTGCGCGTATAAATAGCACGGTCCAAAATTATCGGGGCACTTCGGCGAACGGTGCCGCGAAAGTGGCGTCCAAGAAAAGGCCGACGATTTCTGCTAGCTATAAAAATACGCAGGGACGACGCGCAGAGCCGCCCGGTTGGCGTTGCGCATTCTTCGTTGAGGGACACGAGGACGAAGGGCAAAGGATGATAGAGACGATGACACATTCGTGGACTTTGAACTCTCGCGATCCAAAACCATGTTGTAGGAAATTCATACAGGAACATACAAACGTGTGTGTCAAATGTGACATGCCAGTCATTCTAAAAGAAACGACAAAGAGTGGGTAACTATATAGATGAGGAAGAAATGACTCAATCTCTACATGGAAAAAAGTGCTAGATTCAAGTAAATAGCTGCTCCAATACTCCTTAACAAATTTTCACTTGAACCAAGTAATATGATTTTTACTCTACTCACTTGATCCAAAAATAAAATATTATCCAAGTAAAATTTACTTAATTCAAATAATCCAAGTAAAAATTTGCAAAGGAGTAATTATTTACTTGAATATAGTATTTTTTGTGTAGAAAGCATTCAACGTAGCAAACGAATGGATGCAAGTGATACCAATAAATTAGAATTAAAATGTCGTTGAACAAGAAAGCGTCTTGCAACGAATCTTCAGATAGCTATGTTGCACACAGCAACTTAATGACTGCATCAAACTCGAGTTTTAACGAACAAGTTGAACGTCAGCAGCACCCGATGTTCTAACGACGTGGTCGGTAATTACGTGATTAATCGACGTATATAGGTCGGGGAGAAGACGAGGCGAGAATTTTGCGAGAGTACGATCCTAAATAATTTACTGTCGTTCCAGAAAACAAATACGGAAGATCTCGGACGCTTATAAACGGCGCGAAGAAAAGCCTCGTTTGTGTGTAAATGACTCTGAACTATTGAACCTGTGCTCCACTTCCGCTTTCGTAACGTCGCGTTGCCGCATAATTCCACAGGGACGACCTGTCGCGTCTTGAATATCGAACACGTGGATAATCGAGTTTGAACCGATCTCCGAGTTTGCCTCCGCACCTACCGACCTACCTCGAACGCGATTAGAATAACTCTGTTTAACGGAATAGTACAAGGCGCGACTGTTTATAAAATTGCAGAATTTTGTTCGTTCTCTCGAAATTACTGAATTTCACGTCAGCCTGTTTTCGGGCGCAAAAATTAGACTGTAATCGCGTAATTGAGTTTCTTAATTGAATTATTTGCGGAATGCTAATGTTTTCCTCGTACACCAATCGCCGACCAGTTATGGCTCGACTATTTCTTGGTCGCGGGGAAATATCTATGACCGAATATTATCAATGAATATTCACGGCCATGTATTTTTCCCGTCCGTGGGAAAGTGTACCAAGGAGAACATCGCAGTTCTAATCTTCCTTCAAAATGTCCTACTACGATCGGTAAATAAGAAAAAAAAACCTTCGTTATACTGTGACTTGTATCGATACGCGCGTAAGTTTGACACTTTTATCTCGGCATGTAAAAATCAAGCGAGTTATCAATAGAGAGAGAGAGAGAGAGATCTTTTAACGACGACTCCGAGACAATATTCCGCGTCTGATGACTCGATCGTGACTCGACGCAATTACGCGTAACGAATCGATTCACTTTTGCGCGTAACGTAATCGCGACGAAGCGTAATATATAACTCTCGTGGCAGCCGAACGATGTTTTTCCCATCGGATCGGCTTCCTAGTAGACGGATGCATCGCGAGACGATCGACACGCGCACGGTGCATCTGGAATTTTCTCGGTCGGCATCACGGTACTTTGCTAGCGACCTCGTATACTTTCCTCATGCACAATAGTCACAATCGTAGTCGCGTATTACCCGTATGACCGTCGTCATCGTGAATTCAACGCGTCATTAGCACCTTACGTAAAGTCACATCGCACGTAATAAACTCGATTCGAGGCCCGTTACTTCGGGACTTTTTACACGTCAACAGCTGCTCTCTCTCTCTCTTTCTATATATATATGTCGTGGTATTCTGACGCGCGAGATAATCGTCTCCGACAATTATATTGGATTGATCGATGCGTTCGTTTCGTAGAATAGTCGCGCCGATTCGCGCGCGCAGTATCGAGAAATCGCAACCTTTCGTGTGAATCACCTTCTTCCCCCCGTGCACGACGACGTCCGTTCTCGCGTCTGTGAGTCACCTGAGAGCCCACCACCCCGATCTCAGCTTCTCTCAGTCACTCCGCTTCTTTTTTCCCGGCCCCGGTAGTCACAGTCAGTTACTAAATCCACCTGGTATCGTGCCGTTTGCAGAGACCCACACTGTGGCGATGACAGACCCACAGCTGAACAATAACAATAACAACAACAACAACAATAACAACAACAACAACGATGGCGAGCCAAAGTACCTGCACAAGAAATTCAAGAAGATGGCGACGACGGAAGTCGCGCCAAAGGTCGAGCCCAAGAAGATGGAGACTACGGCAAACAACGCCTCTGTCGAGGCACCCAAGCGAAAGGACGCCGACAAGGATGGCAAGGAGCCCGTCAAACTCAACGCTTCCCCGGAACCCGAGGGAGAGCCCACCGAGTCTCGAAAGAGCGGCTACGTTTGTTCTTACTGCAACTTATCCTGCGCGAAACCGAGCGTACTCCAGAAGCACATCAGAGCGCACACGAACGAGCGGCCGTACCCGTGCGTGCCATGCGGATTTGCCTTCAAGACCAAGTCGAATCTGTACAAGCACCGCAGATCGCGCGCTCACGCGCTCAAGATGGAAGGAGGGGATGCGAGCAAGGTATTCGATTAACAAGATTCGCTAATTCGATTCTTCACAATTCGTTCTTATATATTTCGTCGTCTCAAATACATCGTCAGAAACTTCTTTACTGACAAAACGATCCGTATGGACGTTGCATAGATTATTTCACTGGCTGAGTAGTATTTAAAGGTGTGTTTAAGGCGATCTTTAAGCATAAGAATGGGCTATGAATGAGCCTTAGCCTGCGAACTAGTGTGTCGAATTCGCTATAAGTGTGTTTCGTGTTAATCCTAACTCTTCTTCCCCATTTTTTTTTTTATGTTTTCTGTGAACGTGTGGTTATCGGAAGGTTAAGAAGTAATGCGTTATTTGTAATACTTGTAAATAAAGTCAGTAGATATCACACGTTATGTTAATATAAGCTGTTGTACACAAACTCAATATGAAATTGTTCTCACTTGGCTCAAGCACTTGATATAAAATGCTTTTCGTGCAATTTCTTTTATATATGATGACACAATAATGGCGGTATATTGTAAAAAAAAAATGGAGAATAATACATGCGATAGATATATTGAATAATAATTTTTGGAGATTAGAAGTGGAAGAAAATATTGAGTTGGACAAAAGAGTTGTACCATTTTTCGCAGATGTCCGAGGACTCGGACATAAGCCTGTCGGACAGCGCCAGCAATGGCACAGGTACGCCACCACCTCCACCCGCTTCGACACCCACGACGACGACGACGACGACGACAACAGTATCCACCGTCGTGAAGACCGTCAAGACCGGCAAGATCTACAAGCCGAAATTCCACACGGCGTTACAGTGCGTAAACAACGATGCCGAGACGTCCTCCTTGTCACCTAGTTCTTCCAGTAGCAGCTCTTCCTCTTCGACCACCGCCGCCGCTTCCAATTCCATGCCAAACGCGGAACAATTACAAGAGCACATCGACAAAATCATTACGGATAATCAGGCGATCATGGAGGCGGTGGATCCGCGTCTCCATAAGCTGATGCAGCGTCAGCAGAGCTTGGTGGAAACGAAGCAGCAGTCGGAGCTGCCGTTGAATCTGTCTTCCGTGGAACCGGAGCCTTCGAGCAGGAAACGTTGCTACAGCGACAGCTACACTCAGGAAGGAGCAAAGGAGGACAGCTTCGAGGGTTCGATCATCAAAGATCTCCTGCTGAAAACTGCAAATACCGCGACGAACGGCCCGTTGACGGAGGCAACCGCGATTGACAATCTGGCGTGCCCCAGCTGCAACATCCCCTATACCAGCGTGGACAACCTCGAGACTCACCGTAGATACTATTGCAAGGGCAGCCCCCGAAGAGCAGATTATCCCGGGGAATTGGAGAAACGCGAGTCCGACTTTGTCGAGTGCAAGTCTTCCGAGTCGTACTACGGCACCTTGCAACCGTTACCCTCGCCGGGTCCTCTGCTGGGTAACACTCGTCTGGTCGACGCGTACGCTCCGGCCGCGAAGAAAGCAAGATTGGAGAACGTGCCGACCAGTCTGAGGTCGCTGGAAGAGCTCAGCAAATACCCGCGTCCGAATTCTCTGCAGATGTTCGGCGGCGAAGTGCGAATTCTCGACAACACCGGCGAGACGAAAACAATGAGAATCGAGCCGCGACAGACCAACTCGCCCACCAGCGAGCATATAGTGAGTAGCAAGTGCGTGACCTCGGAGACGGCGTCGGTGGTGGTAAAATCGGGACTGCACTCGGGCGGCACTATGGTCCACAAGCCGCCAGGCACGCCGGCCAGCACGCCGAGTTCCTCCATATCTCTGCCCAACGTACCGAAGATGCTGGCGCCCATCATACCGAACATATCAACCCCCAATATAGCGCCGACCATGTCCTGCTACAACTACCTGGAGTCGCATTTGAACCCGCTGACGAGTATCACTGCCTACAACCCGTTGACGTTGCCTCAGGCGGGCATCACCAACATTCTCCACGGCGGCAAAATAATACCGTACGTTCCCGGCATGCCCGGGCCACACACCCTGACCGGCACGCCGACTATAGACATATCCCCGAGTATAACGGCCGGCGAAGCAGCCGGCTACAAGGTGATACCGGGTCTACCGGGTCTACATATGGTACCTCATCAACCTTTGAACCTGGCCAGTCCGGTGCAAGCCGGTATGCTCGGCGGACCGCCCTCCGTGCTGCTGGACCAGCCTCTGGATCTGGCCAGTCCGGCCAAGGAATCCAAGATCAGCTTCAAGACTCCCGGCGGTGACAGCCCCAAAGTTCCTCCTAGCGTTAAGATCGAGACGGATAAGTATCGTGCGAGGACCGGAGAAATCGGCAAAACTGAGCTCGATCGTCATATCAAGAACGGCGCGGTGGTGAAGTACAACAAGGGCCCTATAGAGAGCCCGCGGGGCGAGAGAAGAGAGTTTACATACGACAAGAAGCATTCGGATAAATCTTTCGGTTACCCGAATGGCACGGACAATTCCTCCGGCTCTTACAGTAAACTGAGGTACTCGCCTAAAGCTACTACGGAGAGCAGAAAGAGGCCGTCCAATTGGGGCGTGAGCGAGGTGGACCTACCGTCGCCTCATGAAAACGGCCGATTGAGCCTCTCCGACGGACGAGCGAAGCTCGTGGACGGTGGTGCGTTCAACGGGGCCAAGACGAAGGTCACCGAGCCAGTGCCGTCGGTGATACTCGTGAACGTAGACTCTTCGAAAACAGAAGTGCCAACGAAAACTTCCGTAGAGATAGTAGTTGGTAAGGAGAAGCCCGAGGTGAAATCGCCAAGAAGCGAAGTCACCGCCGAGGAAGCGACGAATAAATTTGTGAGACCTACGTCGCTACCGCTCAAGCCCGGCACGTTCACGCCGAAGAAGCACCACGGGATCACGCCGACAGCCAATACACTCCCTCTCATCAGTCCGGAGACTCCGCGACCGAAAAAGTCTTACGGACAGCTGTATCTCAACGGGCACGCCTACACATATCTGGGACTAAAGTGTTCCACCAGAGTGTTCTATTGCACCCTGAACCGACCGCAGCCGATGTACGTTACGCAACAACACGGTCTGTCGATGTACTCCAATTGGAAAATATGTAAGGAGGCACCGTCGGACGTGGACATGGCGCACTACGACTCTCGGCACAGACCCTCCAATTATACCACCGCTTGGAAAAGGCAGGAGGACATTCTGACGCACTCCTCACAGAGACCAACCACTCCCACCAGCCCGGATAGCGGATTGGAGAGTGATATGCAGGAGAAGGCGAAAAAGGTGACGATATTCGACGGAGGTTACGAGAGTAACGAGGATTACACCTATGTGCGCGGAAGAGGTGAGAAGCATTTGTATTATCTTGTAACGTTGCGCGAGATGTAGCTCTCTTTTTCAATGATGGTATTTCGAAATGATTTTATCGGAATGTATTTCAACACGCGCGTTGAGAATGAGAGAAAATTCTCAGCGAGAAAAGATAATCATCCGCGTTATCAGCGAATAATGTTATGTTTCGCAAGGTCGAGGACGTTACGTCTGCAAGGAATGTGGTATTCGGTGTAAGAAACCATCTATGCTGAAGAAACATATCAGAACGCATACAGATGTCAGGCCGTACACTTGCAAGCACTGTGTCTTCAGGTAAGTCTGCGACCTTTCGCGGCGGAACGCATTGTGCCCCGAGTTTGTGAAACGATTGTTTGTGCGACAGTTTCAAGACGAAAGGCAACCTCACGAAACACACCAAGTCCAAGGCTCACTACAAGAAATGCGTGGAATTGGGCGTGGTGCCGGTGCCGACGAGCGTCTGCGACGAGAGCACCGACAAGGAGTCGATGGCGCAATCAACCGGCGGCAACGCGGACGAGTCGTCGGAGGAAGAAGAGGAGAGCGACGGTGAAGAGAGCGAAGAGTCCGGTAGCGAGGAGCAAGAAGCGGCGCAAAGTCTGCTGAGCCTTTCGCAACGCAACAGCAGACTGCCGGGCTTGCTGCCGTCGGGAAGGCCGACGACGTATCCGTACGCTCTGACCTTACCGATCTTACCGACAACTTCCACGGTCACGTCCACGGCCGCGACGAGCTGTCCAAATCTGAGCAGCCAAGGGACAACGTTGATTCAGAGCGAGTCGTCGCACCGCTACTACTTCCCGTCGAGCCGAGCTACGGCGGAAGAATCGAGGAGCAGCGTCATCCAGTCGGCCTCGAAGAAAGACGACTCGGACGGAGTCGAGATGGAGGAGGTGGTGGCGGTGGTGAGCAGCAGCGCGGAATCGCGCCTTCACCAATCCGCGATGTCTCAACCGATGGATCTGACGACGAAGCAACAACCGGTCCCGCAGAGAGCCAGACCCGCGGACATTTTGACGCCCGTCTCGGAACCGGTCCTCCTGCAGACGATAGTCCAGACGATGGAGCGGCTGCCGATACAGGGTAGAGAGTGGAAGCCGGACGCGCAGGGCCACATGCTGCAGGCCTATCTCACCGAAAGATACGTGATGGACAGTAAAATCAAGCAGCAGTATCGCGTGGGAAGTAGCAAGCTGGACAAACAAACGCAAGAGAGAGACGTTTGCCGTCCGCGGCATCAGGATCCAGCGAGATCCAGACACGTGGAATCCAACGGCGTCCTGACCGTGACGTACACCGACCCCAGCAAGATACAACACACGGTTATGGAGAGCAGGGTTAACAAGCACGCGACGAAGCACACCAGCGACGACATCAAGATGGAAATCAGGGAGAAGATATATCAAAACAACATAGAGAGACGAGCGTTCGACTCGGAGACTACTCACAAGGAGCAGCCTAATCGATTGCTTCCCGAGCGCGAGAGCTTCGTTTTGGCCAGTCCCGTTGCTGCGCGACCGAGCATCGAATACGGTCTGCCTATGAGCAAAAACAATAACTCCATCGACAGACCGATTTACTCCGTGGACGCAGCCAATATCGACTCGCCGAAATCCTTGGATGCCAACAACCGGTTGATGCAGCATGCCGACGTCGACAGAGGTTCCATGTTCAATGCGATGATGGCCGAAATGGACAGACCTAGGGAATGCCACCCGGAGATGAGAACAGCGAGCAACGATCTGCGAATGCAGAGCCCGCGGAATCTCGACCTGAGACCGCCGCCCGGTCAAGAGTACAGAGCGCCGAATCAAGCTGAGCTGAGGCTACCTAGTCAGGAGTTGAAGATGCGGGGCCAAGATATGAGACCGCCTAGCCGCGAGTTCAAGCCGTTCGTTCACGAGATGCAAGTCATTCAAGAGCTTATGCCGTCGACAAACATAGAAATGCGGCAAACAGATAATAGGCCGCCGAGCAGAGACATTAGAGCACTCTCGGAGTACAGAGCGCAGTCTCAAGATCTCAGGCCCAGTTACGAAATGATGCCTATGCACGAGCCTTCCAAGCCTTCGCAAAACGTTGATGTGAGGAGTACGGTACCGCCGGTCGTCTATCACTATGAAACCAAACACACCACGGAGTCGATCAAACAGAATAACACGCCGGATAACGCGAAGCACGCGGTAGCCAGGAAGATAGTCGTCGGCGGTCCGGATTTTCGATCCCCGTCACCGAATACGCCGGCGAATCCGAAAGCACCACAAGCGGAATTTTTACAACCGTCGAGCGGGCCGGCGCCTAATTATGTTACGTGAGTACTATCCTCTTTCGATTTGCGTATCAGAGCGTTATGTTGGTCGAAAGCGGCGATATTTAACGAACAAAAAAATAGGTGTTTCATACGTAACGAACTTTTCGATTGTTTCCGCCCTCTTCAACGCTGAATACCACCAATTTTAAAATTCAAAGTATTGTTGATGTCAACGTTAAATTGTTCATATCGTCGGAAATTTGATACGGAAAATATCAAAGGCGTGAATTTACATAGCTTAGGCGACTTTCGGAGATCCACGGTGCTCGATGTACGTACGATATTCGTCGAGATGAGACTCCGCTTGTAAGAACTGAGTCTATGGAATGTAGTTACAGTGTGACGGAGGACGGTAGGAGCGTATGTGGGATTTGCAACAAGGTGTTCAGCAAGCCTAGTCAGTTGCGGTTGCATATCAACATTCATTATTTCGAGCGGCCGTTCAGATGCGAAAGTTGCGCGGTTTCCTTCAGAACCAAGGGTCACCTGACGAAACACGAGCGATCGGTTTCCCACCATAACAAGGTGAACGATAGATTAACTTTATCTACGCGAACGATATATATGTACGTGTGAATGAATCTGTAAGTATTAATAAATGTGGAAACTCTATACAGGTCAGTATGACTTCTACGTTTGGCGCAGCAACCACCAGCAACCCCAGGCCTTTCAAGTGCACAGATTGTAAGATAGCGTTCAGAATACACGGACACTTGGCCAAACATCTTCGCAGCAAGATGCACATCATGAAGTTGGAGTGCTTGGGCAAGTTGCCGTTTGGCACGTACGCGGAAATGGAAAGGTCTGGTGTCAACCTGAACGACATTGACACCACGGACTGTGATAATAGTCTTACTAGTCTACAGGTGAGTATCGAGGGAGAGAAATAATCTCGCGCACATTTCGCGATAAAACTCGATATCTTCTCCCGACAGATGTTGGCTCAAAGATTGTGCGAGAAGGACCCCGCGAAAATCGCGCAATGGGACTCGGAAAGTGTGCCCGTCGGTCAGACGGTGAGCGGCAGCGAAACCTCATCGGACGAGGGTGAACCTATACCGCAACACGCGCTTCAATACGCGAAAGCGACCGCGGACGCGGACATCTCCCGATCATATCACGTGCCAATCGCTGGCGAGGAACCGAAAGCCATTAATCACGTTAACGACGTTCGCCTACGCAGTCCTCACTTCAGTCAGCATAGACGCGACTACGTCGTGAAGGAACAACGACCGATCCCGATCGTCGTTTCGTCGGAGGATGCGAGGACGGAAGACAATTTACAATCGTACAAGTGCCAAGTTTGCCCCGTATCTACGCGTACCGTAAACGAATTACAGGTACACTGTTTTGTTGAACATAATATTGAGACGGATTCTAGTACAAATATCGTTCACGGAGATAGGAGTGCGAGTAAATGTAGAGAAAAAGAGAATACTCAGAGGAGAATTACGGAGGAATCTTCCGCGGTTAAAGAGGATCATAATAGACAAAAGATAGAGGACACATAGTGCCAAAACGATATAGCGTGCTAAAGGAATTTTCGATCATGCCATACTAAGAGAAAGAGAGAGGAATTGCGTAATGACAATGCATCATGTGCGACACGCGTAATCCGTACTTTTTCGATTTTAAAGAAATATCTACCTGGTATGAATTGAGGAAACACATCTTGATCATTAACACCAAGATGACGAGAAATTTTCACGAATCATTTGCTACTGAGAAACTGCAAATTTTACGTTGCCGTCACCGAATGTTTGTTAAATTTCTACGGAAAAGGTCTTGATTAAAAATTTAAAGTCTATCAATTGGAAGGAGAAACGCGAGAACGAGAAGGCACGAATATCTGATAGTAACGTATAAATCTTAATATGTATGCAATTTCACACGAATGAAAGCTAAGAAGCATTGTCTCGATCATGTTTCTTCTACCACAGGTACCAGTTCACTTGTAACTGCCTGTTTGTACTGCAAAGCCGTAACGTCATAATCGCTCGTATAGTCCACCTCTAAGACTTTTCCTCTCAAAACCGGCACGTAAGTAAACAAAAAAGAAAAAAAAAGTAAAAACAATAACGTAGCTCCAGTATCTGATATGAATATAATATTTATACACACAATAGAGTGTCGTAGCAAGCATAAGGTGCAATGTGGACTGGCATGTGATCCTGTATTTAAAGTGCAAATGTTGCGTTCAACGTTAAAGAGTATTCTAAAATATTACAAATGAATATTATACTTTAAAAAATTGGTACATGAAGCTTATATATATATATATAAATACACACGTGTATATATATATATGTATTTGTATGATATTAGTATGAATACTTATGAGAATGATTGTTGATATAAGAGGAAATGTGTTTGTATATATTTATGTATAATATACTGAGAGAAACCGTGTTAGGCTCTATTGTAGTTTTAAGAGCTCAGCAATCAGGAAATGTGTCGGTTACTCAGATTATGCAATATAAAATTACATATTAATTCTTTGGTTTGTGCATATCTTTTGTGGAAAATTTTCTCTGGAAGGGAAATTAAATGACAAGTATTAACAGTCTTATCTCTGAGATATTAAGAAAATATAATGTTTATTTTTCAATTTTTTTGATATTGCTATTTATATCTTCTCAATCGAAACGATCTCACTCATTTGGATAATCTGAGGGACCAATTCGCTGATTCTGTTTAAGACATTTAAGAAGCCGCATACCTTCCATGAGCGACAGCTATCGTATCTTATAATTAACCGTCTACCTAATATTACGTGCAGTCTCAACATCTCACTCAAGCACGAGAATATGTCTTTCCTACCGCATAATCAGACTCCGATTATCACGATTTGTACCTAGATGTGCTTGAGCTAAGATAATAGTGGTACGGATAGGTAACGACCACACAATTGTATACAATGAGGTCCAGGTCTGAGTGATTGTCACTAAACGATATCAGTGTAGCATAGTCTAACCTAGCATTTTGATGTATATCTATTTACCTAATTCCTAATTCTATCAACTCCATCGCGAAACTACGTATGAGCTTCCAAGATGTGTACACGTATGTATGTATGTATCCGAAATGCCAAGCCAACGATTTGCGTTCTCAAAAGAATCAGCGAGAGAAAGTATATGCGTCTTTTTTAGCATTATCATCGCCAAGATCAATTTTCGAACGATATGATTCTTCCGTGCGCGAACGCGATATTTTCCGAAACTAAAATACATGTGATCCCTATCTCTTTTTCTCCTTACCTTCTGACCTCTCCCTCCCACCCCTCTTTAACTATTTACATGTATACTTGTATGTGATCACGAAAAGATTGTACTTTTTTCAAATTATAGATTCATATTACGACATATATTTTCGGAACGTTATCGCGCGTGTCCGTAGAAGTATCAGATATTTTTCAATGTATACACAACGAGCGTTTACATATCAGATATATTGCCCTTTTTCTCTCTCTGGCCATTTTATACGTTCCGCCATCTTATCGAATAGGGCAGTACAAGATAGGCGATGTCGTAACGAACTTACAGTTTTAACGCGTTCTCGCCGGCAGCAAGTCCTCTTCAACAACTTCAGACACGCGATGAAAAACTTCGAAAGGTGTTCTGCGAACTCGAACAATCGCCGAAATACACAACTATACTCGTCCGAAAAGTCCGATCGTGATCCAAAGAGCTTTCCGCGCGTGTAAAACATGATTGTGTCTCGAATGCACACTGAGAACATAGCTGCGACTCTTCGATTATCGAACGTTGAACAGCGTTCAAAAATACTGAGTTGTAACGTTTGTTTTATTATGCGAATGATTATTTTGAAATTTAAGATGACCATCGATGGTTATTGTTGTGTAGAGCGATACACGTACAAATAATTTTAAATTGTTAGAAAAAAGTAGAAATCGTATTTCAAGCATAAATCGATGTAAACAAGGTGTTTAATACCTCTATTTTGACTATTTCTACCGAAGATTCCACTTGAAAATCTTGAGACTTGAGATGGATTCATTTCTTTATTTTAAATGCAACGATCGTCTCCTTCCCCCCCAACGACCAACAATATTTCAACTATCTTCCTCAGCAGCAAGTCCGACCGAATAATTGTTCACGTCTAATGTACGACATCAAGTAGTCTGTATATAAATGCGATATATATACATATGTACCGAAAGCGAACCGTATAAAATAACGATATCTCTTAAAGGTGACGCGCAAATTCAACGCGTATGCGATAAATCATACCGCAACTTATATTGACGATTTTCACAAGAGAAAAAGTTGGCTTGGCTTCTTCCAGACTCAGTATTAGAAGACTTTGAGAACGGTGAAAGAAAGAAAAAAACGAAAAAAGGTGGAACTTGTATGGCTTGTAGACCGTTCTACTACAGATTACATTTTACAGAGACATCGACTTTTGTCACCCGATTTTACGGGGTTGTGTCTCGGGAAGGCTCCCGTCCACCCTTGCCCCTCCTCTCGTACTTTTATGATTTTATATAACACGCGGTGACACTTGAAAATATATCTCTGATGGCGATATAGTATTTTATACATATTATAGCCGAAGTAGATCTTTAAGGTTTTTATATAAATGTTCACCGCAAGGAGAAGAGGCGAAAAGGAGGAGTACGTCTTTATGTACGCATAAATACGTCATGCTTTGGCGACGCCTCCATGAGTACTTGAACGAACCGTCTTTGGTTCAAGCAACAATATCGTGAAACTTTTTAATTCGTACCAATTATCAGGCTATGTGCTCGTCAATATCAGACAATGTGGGGGACCGGAGTAAAAATTTTATAAGTGTATACATCTACACAGAGTAAATAGAGCAAAGGATTTTACAGATCGTAATTAGTGCCAATATTTTCTTTGCCAGTGTCACCGTTGTTCACTCTTCCGATTCTGTGACTCTGTTGAACCCTATCGATGAAAATGTAATTTTTATTTATTGTAAATAAAAGACAAATATATTGCTTAAAACATTTTATATATTGTGCATTCTAAATCGATATGCAGATGCGATTCCATCCAATGATGGAATGTCCAACTGTTGGCCCAGAGATTGTAATGCGACTCTGTACGGTGATCTTGCAAGAACGAAAGTACAACTCTAGGAACACGGGCAATATGGGACAGGAATAAAAAGTTAATTTCCAATAACACTGTGTATTATATTATTATGGATAAAATTGCCCCTATATTACAAGTTAATAAGTATTTTAATAATTCGTAACTTAGTGCTATATCACGGTCTCCTCATTCAATCACCTGTATATTTATCGTGCATCAAACACAACAACTAAAAGCAAGATTAAGGAAAATTGCTCTCAAAAACAACATTACTTAAGTTATATTTAAAAATGTTCAATATGTAATAGAAAGGATACGTCTCTTGGTGCGCTTTTTATACATGATCCTATATCCACATTCCCTGCACCGAATTGGATCCTTTTGACGAATTTCATTGTCATTATGGCATTCTAAAAATTGACATTAAGTATAATTAACTTATGTGCACGATATAAATATATCTAGTAAGTAAATAATATTTATTACTATTTAACATATTTTCAAGTATGAAACTCTTAATTCTCTATTCTTTTAATATGTCGTATTGTGAAAAATATTTGAAATAATGCTTCAAAAATTAAAATTAGAAGACGTTCTCATGTTTAGATTAGAAAAAATAACATAAAATAATTTTTTTTATATTTAAGAAAATTATATATTATTTACATTATAAAAGGTACACACAAAAATAGCATTTCAATATTGTAATTTAATGTCTCTTACTTATACTAAATATGTATTTTGAATATTTTCAAGAACTCCTGAATATATTTGAAAAATACTTAACATTAAAACTACCAAAGCCGGTCAAATGACCAGTTGGTAATTTTTTTCCTTACAAAAGTTACTCCAATTTCTAATAGTGCATCCTATGAGATTAACCGTAATTTTTGTCGCAATATGTAAACGAATGAATACTTTTTCCTATGCATTACATATCTTCTCAAAAATTTTATTTAAACTGCTTCGGCAGAAAAATATACGTTAATCATTGGTAGTTTTAATGTTAAATATAATATTGTCGGCTTCAACAAACAACCATGATGTAGAAAATTTAGCAAAAAAATATATACTAGTACAAATATGACCAACTGAACGATAATTAATTGGTATAAACATTAATACATAGTTGTTTATAAAATAGTTGATCGAGGTTAGAAAATGTTTGACGAATATCCTTTACCTCCACAGATATATACCATGGCCTTCGGTGTAGATTCAGATTTACTAGATTCCATTTTTTAATACCGATAAAAATTTACTATTTACTATAATAATATATAATTTAATATTTAGTTTACTAATTTTTTGCAAGATAATCTGCACAAACACGACGCGATATTTCTCAGTTATGACTGCGAACAGGCCAAAGACTCGTCTCCAACGCCAGTAGCTTATGACGCAATACGTTCCCGTATTGAACAACTGGTCTGTTCTTTTCAGCCGAACTTGCTGAACAATTCAAGAAATTTGGCTGCCTAATTCAAAAGTATATCCTCAACACCGCTCAAAACATAAAAGCATATAAAGCGTACGTACGAGATTCTCAAGGAGAATTTACATTTTGCCAGAAAAGTAGAAGCCCGAAAAGCAGCAGCCAATCATAACTAGCGCTGGTAGTCGGCAGTTAAGTCCGTGTCACATTATGTACTGAGCACACGGATTGGATTTGAATTGTAAATTACGAATCATTGACTAGCTAATCAAATTAAAATAGCCAAAAATTCATTGGCTGGTCAACGATTCGCAATCCGCAAATATAATGTCCGTGTCAGACTACGAATTAAGATTGAGATTGGATTGCAATTTAACCAATCAGAGCAAAGTTCACTAAACTCATGTTTAGTGAATCTTACTCTGATTGGCCAAATTTAATTTAATCCCAATCTGTAATCTAATACGGACTTAAGGCCTTGTGTTCACGATGCTAAATCACGATCCGTGATCCAGTATATTATGTCAGTGGATGCTTGGAAGTTTATTAAAACTTCCAATAATTTCTCGTAATTTTTACATTTAACCAAGTCGATGCGTAGTAGTAAGCGGTAGGTAAAGCAGAAACTACCAACACGAATTCTGATTGGTTCTCTGCTTTTCAATCTAGGTGTGAATTCTCCCTAAGATCCAACTACGATTACCGGCCGTAGATATATTTCAGTGAAAACGAGCAAGTCGAAATTCGAAAGCGTAGAAGGCTGTACGCAGGCGCGTCGCGCGAATTCGAGAGCGCGAGGAAGCTAGTTGCTCCCCAGCAACAGATGCTCGTGACGCGTGCGCTCTCCAGCATCCTTCGGCGGCGCGAGCCAATAGCGGCACTTGGCAACGAACGGCGGCAGAGTGCAAGCATGCGATTGGACAGCGCGCTAGTTCGTGGGGAGCGCGGAACGGAACGCGCGAGTGGCTTTCCGAGTTTTGGTCAAGTGCTGCGACGTGCGACACACAGAGGGGGAGCCTACGGCGCGCGCAAGTTTTCCCCCCCGATTGCGCTCACCCCCGACTGTTCAGTGACATCTAGTTTGTAAGGGTTGAGGGTTCGGTGTGGATGAGCGAGCTGTGCTCACTCAAAAAAAGACGACGGTGAAGTTCGCGCGAATAGTCGGCGTAGCCGATCGCGGTGATCGCGGGTTTTGTTTACGAAGCGCGCGCGCGTGCGCGCCCGAAAGAGCGCCTCTCTCTCTCTCTCTCTCTCCTACGTGTGCCCTCGCGCCGCTGGATGGCAGTGAGCGGCGGAAGGAAGAATGGGAGAAGGGTGAGTGTTTCCCGCGTACACGTGAGTGCGCCGCGAAGCATCGTCCGTGCGTGTCGAAACGTTGAAAGAGAGAGAGAGAGAGGGAGAGAATTGAGCGGCAAACGTCAAGCCGCCATACGATGAATGTGGAGCCTTGCCGAGATTCGCGGCGTAGATCTACAGGAATTCCGAGTAAGGTCAGTTTCGCAGAATGACAGTTGCGCGGTCGCCGCGGTCGACGCGGACGAGTCGTCGCTCGACGGATTTTTTTCGCCCGGTGTAAACAGACGCGAGTGACACAGAGGACAGTTCGCCTTGTGTATGTCGCGATCATCCGTCGATTCGTGGACGAACGATCAAACACACGGAGCGATATCGATCAACGGATCGGGATTTTAACACAGAGTTGCACATCGAGGGAGGATTTCAACACTTTGAGGGAGACAACGGCCGCAATCCAGCCGTATGTTTGTGCACTGGCCGCGACGGATGGTGCGTAATTCCTCTCGAGGGAACTCGCGAGAGAGATTCTCATCGAAATTTTTCGTCAATCTCTTACAAAGAAGCAGGCTAGATCGACAAAATCCGCGACATGTCGTTGCATCCGCGCGGCGTCGCGCAGCGGACAGGGAGATAATCCAACGCCTCGCGGTAATCCGGAGGAACGAGAGATAATTTCGAAATATCGGACGATGGACGACGGCGGAAGCATCCGCGGTACGCCGCACAGCTCCGGCGACTCGAACGGACGCAGCTACGACAGCGTGGACAGCGGCTACCTGAGCGGCCTGACGCCGCATTCCAGCTACACCCCGATGGTGAGCACCGGCTACAAGAACAAGCTATCCGGCGCGGTCGCCAAGAGGCACCGGCATCGTCAGGATCCCTGGCAGTGCAACAAACTTCACAGACATCGTTCCAAGCTCGGTCAGCTGCTCTACGTCTCGGAGTCGGAGCAGCCGGAGAGCTCCGACTCGGGGCTAGAATTGTCGCGCGCGAACCAAGATCTCAGTCTACTGGCGCATTCTACCCCGAGCTGCGCGAACGATGATCTCGCTCTTGGCAGCAGCAGGAACTGGCAAGCCACGGTGCCGGTCACCCCAGCCTCCGCGGGTCTCCACCTCCTGTCACCGCCGCCCTCTCCGGCGATGCCTACCTCGTCCTACGCGGTCGCCTCCCTGGGAGAGGAGGACGTGGAGATGAAACTAGTCGTACCGCGAGAGAATGTAGTCGCGACATCGCCGAAGACCCCGATACCGCTCATTGTCGTTTCGCCGGTTCGCAGGAGAATCAATCCCGGCACCATAACGTCGGTGGAAAACCGACAGTTGAGTGAACTGTCTATCGCGGACTTGAGTGCCATACCCGAGATCAAGCCCAAGAGGCTTGATTTCAGTCGCCACGGCTTATCGGAATTGCGCTACGCGACTTTCAGCTGCGTGAAAAAGGAGAAGGTGGATTTCTTGTCGCTTCTGGGAAAAGAGAGCAATCACTGGAACGTAGTGTCGCAGATCCTGTCCTATCTCGGATCACAGGATCTGTGTACGGTCAGCATGGTGTCGACTACGTGGAAGAGAATTTGCAAAAACGACCCGTACGCCAATAGGAGGAGGATGGACTACGTTCTACGCAAGCAGAACGTCAAAGAGAATTTCACGATCGCGAAGAAGGTGAAGCCACTCGGGGAGGCCGTGCAGATGAGCCCTAAGAGCAGAAAGGGATCTGCGGTCAGGAAGGGGTGTCTGTCGAACGTGCAGAATTTGCTGCACGTGCCGTTGCAATCGAGGCCACCGAACAGTCCGCCCGTGTCGCCGAGTAAAGTCAAGTTTCACTCCTTCGTCAAGGTGAGTCGTGATCAATTTCACCGTTGCTTCTTACCATCGGCTGCGCGAATTTATTTATCGGCCGTGCGATGTAATTTCGTCGTGAGAGAAGTCAACGACTGATAGGAAGAGATCTTGAGAGAATCGCGCGCACGCTTCTCAGGGTTCTCGCGTTCGACAGTCGTACTTTCAAGAGAAAGGGAAGGAGGGGGGAGGTCGTTTATCTTGTAGCAGCCAGATACGATTCTCGCGACACGCTCGTCCTTTTAACGCTCCGAGGGCTTAACTGATAGCACGAATAACGGGGAAAATCGCTGCGATTCTCTCGATGACGTTTCTCAAATTACGCCTCGATCACTTGCGGACGCGTGAAAAGGAATAAATTTGCTCCGCCGCGGTATTCTAATTAATTGGTAATCGATTTCTTCGCCAGGCATGATCGGCTGCGCGAGGGACACGTCGTCCTAACGCACGATTCAGAATATTCGTTTCGGCGTTTGGTAATTCCCGCGAGAAGGAGAACACGACGGCTAATTACAGCCGGCGATAATCGATAGCCCGGTAGTCCCGGGATCTCTCCGGGCTAAATTGGCACGCGTAGTTCGCGCACGAAATCGAATCGCGGTCAGGTAATTGTTTCGATCGCGAGATCGTTACTTTGACATTGATTTATCGTCATTTTGGCTTTGAGCCGCCGCAAGGGATAATTGCTCGGTCGGGTCGTTAAGGCTCTAAGATAAGCGAGCCTGTGCGAAACTTGACGAACGACGTTTCTCGGTGATGAGATTTCGCGTCTTTTGTACGAAAGCGCGAAACATCAACGCGTACCACGGTGTTATTAACGTCTCTTAAATATTCGGAGAATCGGCTCGCGAAACGACTCTCGTAATTCCCCGCGGGATTACGACAAGCGTTGATGCAACGTTTACGAGCGTGTCCTGGCTACGTTATGTCATTTCTCCCGCAAATGTTCGCATTACAAAATGTTTCCGTTCCGCCGGATGTCCGCGACGCGTTCCGAGCGGCGAGACAAACGCGATGATTTACTCGCGGAAATCAGTCAGACGGCGGCGTGAAGAATCCGTGACAGTGATGTACGTGCTTTCTCCTTGCCGTCGTTGCTGCAGAGGCTACCTGCCGTCCTCTACCGCGCCGGTTCTCTCGCAACGACGCATTCCTCCTCGCGTTAGATCGCGATAGCGGATGCAAGTGGCATACCACCTCTATATCCTTTGTTACATACGCACACCTAACGAACGATAACGAGGCTTGTATTCGCACCCGTGTCAAAGGCCCGTGTTCTTTAACGAAACGCTTCGCATAAAGACGATTAAATGCGTTGGGATCTCTTCTGGATACCCCCATCACTTTTTGCTGGAAAATAATCAGGTTCTCGTTATCGTCGATTATCAACAACTTATCAACGATAAGTGTTGATTCATTGTATCTGAATCGCGAATTTTCTTCAGATACTCGGCTATCGATACTTCCGTTTACACGGCATTTTTTTTTTTTTTTTTACCTAATATTTCGTTCCAAGTATGATAAGGGAGGAGGGCGACCTGATAATTAAGAGATGTCGAGATAACACGCGGAGACGGTGTGAAAAATTACAATTCGCGAGCGCGGATCATAAATAAATTCGAACCGTTGCAAAGAAAAATCAACGTTCGCGTAGGGATGTACAAAATGTTGTTTAGTGCTCTCGACCAAAATTGAGCCCGGCGAACGATATATCAGAGCGCGCGTCCGGCGCGCCGACGTTCGCTTCTTCTCTGGATCGCGAACCATCCGGCCTGCGGCGAAAACCGGCCACGAAGAACAATGCGAATATATTATGGTATCGTTGGCATTAAAACAAAGGGCGGGCAGAATCCTTTTACGACAGTCGTGCGAGACAAACCGCGAGTGTGCGATATAAAAGAAACGCCTTTGTCGTAAAACTTCGAAGATTGTCGTACTACATGCAGATGAAGCTATTAATATTGATAAACTTTCTGTTGTGGCTCGGGTTCAATCTTGGCTAATTTGATGAACATTATTTTACGTTACAGAGAGAAGACGCATATTATATTACCTCCGTTTTAGCTTATTGCGACATTACATTTTTCAGTTGACAAACTAATGGAATTTTCTATCCTTCTTTCGTATTCTCATTTCTCTGTAAATATTATCGGATCGATATCAAATTTCGACATATTTGCAACTCGGGACATCCGAGCTGTCCTCTTGCACGTTTCTCCGAGTACTCGAGCGTCCTTAATCCTCGGGCAAGCTTGCGGGATGCCGTAGAAAGTTTTGCGGTGGGACACGGTGCGAACATTCGTGAGAACAACGTCGTCATCTCGACCATTTTTGTCGGTTGCACAGCTGGTGACTGACCGTGTGTCAGGTTTTTTTTCCATACCTCGAGATATTAAAATTCTACGTATTCTCGTCGCTGTAAATCTATATTTCACCGCATTCGACAGTTGATATCAATTGTAAAAGATGTCGTTTTCCATCGGTCGGAAACGATCGTCCAAAACTTCGTGTCGCGATTCGAGGAATTACGACAAACCGCACAAAAATAGTCCCGCAAGAAGGAAGGGTGGTTTCGACGAAAGGAAGGAATTGTCCCTTAATTAGCAACGGCTACAAAGGGCCGTTGAGTGGCCGTCTACGTTCACCGCACCGGGTGTTTCCTGTGAAACGCGCGACTCCTCGCGGAGTCCCTTTTTCCGGTGGGTGTCTTGAAAATTTTACAAGGGGACAATCCGGTCGAGCGAGTCTTCCGTCTCGTGCCTGGAAAGAGACAAACCGACGTAGATGACTGACCACTTTTTCAGTCTGGTGTAATTCCGGTCGCGACGCGGGAAAAATTAGCGATACGCATGGTTTTTGGAGTCCTGTCGGAATAATCGAGAAAAAGGAACAGAATATATCACAGTTTATGAGAAAAATGCTAGAATATCGCGAAAATCATGGGCAACGGCATTCTCGATAAAATTGCGATTCTGACAAGGTTTTTGACTTCGTAACGTTACGTTCTGCGTGTACCCGAGAATTTGTAGCTTGCAACTTGAGAAAATCTCCCTTTGGCTTTCTCGGCGCGATGCACACACAGGATTATGCGAGCCACGCGCGAATGAGGAAGAACTCATTGCTCGCGCCGGTTCGTTCATTATTATTTTGTATTTTATTTTCCCGCGCAACGGTCCCGTGGTATCATCACGTGTTGTTGGATATTGACCTACTGCTACACCTGGCCAGGTGCACCGAGTCCCGGCCGTCTCCCTCCCCTTCTCTCTCTCTCACACTCACTAGGTACGTATGTGTGCTTCGCGAAGCATAAAGCAGTCCTGCAACGGACATATGCAGACCGGGTACACCGGGTAAAATAGTACGCGCGAATAAATCGTGTGAAATACTCGAGGCATTGTTAATTTTCGACTAATTTTGGCGTTGGCGTCTCGTTATCGATTCTATCAAGAACGCGACATTTTGAACGGATGTATTTTGAGATAACTAAGAGTGATTCCCGCAATGAAATTGATATAACGAGTAATTTTTGATATTTTTCTCGAAATTACGTCGGAGAAAGACCTTTCGTAAAGTACGAAATGCACTTGGCGGATGAATCTTTTCCCTTGTTCCTGAAATTCAGAGGATATTATCTGAAAACGTGCTGAACGCCGTCGTACATCCTTGTATTCGATACGAACTCGGGGTCGTGCGATCGATAACTATCGATATCGCGCGATTCCTCTCTCTTTCGTCCACTCCTTTAACTCCGTTTCGTTTCCTCTCGTACACTCGCACATATTATACACACCATCTATAACGAGTTGCAAGCGACGGCGAACAAGCCTTTCTATCCCACGATCGTCCGCTCGTCCTCTCGATAAAAAGACGAGGAATGTCTCGATAGCTACCGATAAACGCATTAAGTCGACTACTTCCACGCAACCCCTTCTTGACAATGGTCCCTCTTAAAGGCGCCGTCCAGTTTCTGCGAATCGTGGACCGGATGTTCAACTGAATATTACTAAGGAAACTCGACGGAAAAGTTTTTGCATATATTTACGACAAATAATCGAAACAATGCATATATCTTACAATATATTTTCTAATTTTACAAGACATTTCGTCGCAGCGCAACTTCAATTGCATCTTTTCGCCTTAAATCGTTCGACTGAAAGTTTTCAAGTAATTTGATATTTATAAATACACTCATCACGTTTCCGTTGAGTCGGGGATTGCATGAAGTCGCGCAGGTGCTTATTTTCCACGGTTGAACGTAACAAGAAAAAAAATAACGCGAAAGATATCACGTATCCTCCCAAAGATGGTAGGCAGACTTGTGATTACGAGAACCTCTTGGCCCACGAGGCCTCAGAGTCGTGGTTGGACGAAAAAACGAGCTCAATATGTCGATAAACGCATTAAATCGCCCGATGGTACACATACGCGCTATGCGATTAAATTCCTGTAAAGAGTAATTCGCCGCGTTGGAATGCGAGTTGGTAGTATTCTCTAATTGCGTGATATTAATCGTACAGACGATAACGCCGGCGGCGATTGTGCACGGTAGAGCGATTATTTAATAATAGGTTCCGTTCGGTAATTCCTCCGTATCAATCGCTAACGAACCTGTTGATATCTGTGTTTGCGCTATATATTACAGATAAACTGACATAGAGAGAGAGAGAGAGAGAGAGAGAGAGATAAGAATGTTAGAAATGCGCTCAATGCTTTTGTATCTCAGTTTTTTATCATTTTCGAGCGAATAAATCAATTTGATTTCATATGAAATACAAGCGGAAAAGAGAGAGATTATAAAATGTTTACGGGCTATATAGTCGATCGCGTTTATTCGTAAACGCGATGAAAACCGTGAAACATCAGTGCTTTATCAGTATTGCCACAGCGCATGACTTACCTATTGCTGTATACAATTCTGTTTTACGAACGCTTCGTTAACGCTGGTAAAGCTTGAAACACTGAGGAGTATAACCATTAAATAAATGATCGAAAGTACG